AATATTTGATATGATGATTTAGTAAAGTTTTCAAACGAAAATTTTTGGGTTGTATTTTTGGGATGTTTCACACTAAAGTCCCAATATTTTCAACGATTTGACAAGAATGTCCTAAACTTAATTTTTTTGATAGTAAAGTCGTAATTGACAATTTGACAAGAAATTCTTAAACTTTATTTTTTTGACAAAAAAGTCCTAATTACCGGCTAACCGGAAAAAAAAGGTAAAAGTGTCAAAGAGTGCCGGTAATTTGGACTTTAATGTCAAAAAAAATAAAGTTTAGGACTTTCTTGTCAAATCGATGAAAATATTAGGACTTTACTGTATATATCTCTAATATTTACATAGTAAATTTGTAACATTTCATCTTCTTATAAGCGTAAAGTACCCAAAGAGTCACTTACCGCCATATTTGGAATAATCATTTTACGTTTATTAACACAAGCCCTTGTAAGTTGTAACTCCCAACTTTCTAGCCCAAATTTATGTCAAAAAAAACATATGAAAAGTGAAAAACAGTCAAACCGCCTTATTGTTGCACATGCATACTGATCATTTTAAAGAGCAATAGTGTTTGTACAATCAAGTATAGAGTAGGAATACTGTTCCACCTCCATATGGTTCAAACATTAAGGAGCACAGCATCAAGTCAAGATTTGACACTTGGGATGAGACCACTAAAAGACATAGGTTTGAGGTAAATCACTAAATCTACTTATTAAGACAATGTTGAAGAACTTTTTGTTTTCTTTCTAAAGTATATTGACAACAAGAACTTTAAAGCTTGTATTCACAAGATTCAGCATTATAAAACAACCCAAGAGAGAAAATGTCTAAAATTTAGGAATCTTTATCTATCGTCTTTAGTGTAGCTTAACTAGTTATGAAATAATGAGATTTCGGATGAAAAAAATAGACATAGGTTATGATTTTGAATGAAACAAAGGACCAAACACAAACACATGCAATTTCTACTAATGAGATTTTGAACGTTTAAAGTTTTGTTTGTGACATAGATGAAATATAATTTAAGGACTTTTTGGTAGCTTTTTATTTTTTCAATTAAGAGACACTTGATTTTTCAGATTCAAAGTATTTGATAGCCTCTTAATTTTTGTCTCTTTGTTCATCAATATCTTAATTTTTAAGAGAGAATTGTATATGATAAACGTGTTCCAGAAATAGTCTAATTTATAAGCAAACTTTTCCGTTCTTTCTCTTTATATTTCACACAACTACTTCCCTTTTCCTTCCCCAACTGCCGCCTAGGATCTCTTAAAAATTGAGAACCATTTAAAAATTCAAACCTTTTTAAAAATTAAAACACTCAACTCCTAAGACAATTTGTCTTAAAACATTGAAGACAATTTGTCTTAAAACACTCATCTCCCCATATGTACAAATTTCCTGGTTATAATATGATATCAACTTATCAAATATCAAGTACGTTTTCTACCGATTTGATTTCGTTGTCTGGATATATTTTGCATGTTTGTTTCTGTTTCCGTGAACTTTTCTTGGGGTTTCTCTCATTTAAGAAAAACGTACAAACACACCTACTCCCCAAGGTACAAGTTTGAATTCAAGTACACACGTTTGTTAGCCTACTCTGTTGTACTTTCTGCATAAACATTCGTACAATCTTCACACAAATATACAAACATCAAATAAGTGTGTTTGTCATAGCTTCTGAATATCAAGTCAAAAACAATACAAACAAATCTCACACTTCCCAAAACCCATCTATACAAACACAACAATAGAGATCGTAGTATGTGTTGTCTCGTGTCAAGAAGCTAAAAATCAAAGTTAGATCCGAATATTTTGTTAGGGTTACAAGTTACAAAACCGGTTCACCAAAACTATACTAACCGGTTCACATCAAAAACACCATCAAATGTTGTACATATAAGTATGCACATGACACCACACCAGCATATAACAAATATGCAAAATTTGCTGGCAATTTTTTTTGTTTTTTTTTAACTCTCCTTGGTGGGTTTTGATTCGAAAAATTTTGCGACTGCTTGATAGAGATTTTCTTCTTGAAATGGTTTTGATACGTATCCATCCATTCCGCTTTTTTGGCACTCTTCAAATGTCGCGTGGATGACATCAGCGGTCATGGCTAGAATCGGCAAATGCCATTCCGTGGTTGAACTGTCGATTGTACCGCTCGTTTGTTGCTCGTTTGCTTGACTTTCCATCGATCGGATCCGCCGCGTAGCCTCAAAACTGTAATTTAGTTAGACAGTCTGTCAGTCTCACATCAGCTAAACACAATCTTACCTGGTTGTATATGGTTAATGACATAAATGGATAACAAATTATTTGGTTTTAGATAATCTCTTTATCAAACTTTTATAATGTTACAAAAACAACTCTTACATTTATTAGGTTTTAACAAATTGACTCGTATCATTTAGTACAAAAATTTTATGATCAATGATTTATAACCAAAATCAAATTATGTGTTTTAGTTAAATATGAAACTTTTAACACTATATTTAGTGTTTGATTAATAGTATAACACTATAATAGGTGCTACACTATTTCAATTTAACGTAAAAATGGAGTTTTAGTGTGGAATTGAGGCAAATTAATTTTTATTTCAATTTTTACATTTTATTAAAATTTTATTTTAAAGAATTATACAAAAGGTCTTGTATTTATACGTACCCGTCCATTTCCGGCATTTGAATATCCATAAAACACGCGTCAAAACCGTGCGGTATTTTAAGCAAATCAAGAGCCGATTTCCCGCTATCCGCACACTCAACTTCCGCCCCGAATTTCTTAAGTGCTCCCGCTGCAACTCTCCGATTCACTCGATTATCATCAACCACCAAAATCTTCTTCCCACAAAGCAAACCCCTCAAATAAACCGATCCATTCGCCATTACTTTCCCTTGTTCCGCCTTCTTTCCTGTTCCCAAAACTTGTTGCAAACACGCCGCCACCATACTCGCCCTCAACGGTTTCATAATCAAAGTATCCGAAAACCCCGCATTCTTCGCCTTATCGAATTCCATTCCGGTGATATTCGTCGCCAAAAGAATCATTTTCGGCGACTTTACCACGTTCCCGTTGGACAACCACACGTCTTTCTCGACTAGAATCATATCCGGCCGACGACCGGAATCGGAATCGGAAACAGCGATTCCGATGTTGCTAACGACGTCGACGGATACGCCTAACCGCTTCAAATGGTATCGAGTGACCGCGGCGCGAACCGGTTTGTTGTCCACCACGGTGGCTTTTAGACCTTTGAATGAAGTTGGGAGATCATCATAATTTGGTCTTTTTGGATCGGTGATTGTGGTTTTTTCACATCGTTTTAGGACACAAGTGAAAGAAAACGTGCTGCCGATTTGTGGGCGTGAAACGAAGTTTATTTGACCGCCCATTAATTCCACCAGACACTTGGAAATGCTTAATCCGATTCCGGTTCCGCCGTAGTGTCTAGAAGTGGAGCTGTCGGCTTGCATGAATGGCATGAAAACGAGGTCTTGTGCGTGTAATGGGATTCCGATTCCGGTGTCTTCAACGGAAACCATTAGAGAAACGTTTTGAGAAGGTGGGAATGGGAATTCTTGATCGGACATTAGGTGTTTGAATTTGTCCCATGTGTTTCGATCATCTGCTGCTTCACGACCACTTAATGTTTTGAATTGCCCATCAGATCTTCCATTCATACACGTGTCAGATTTTGATTCAAGAACAGCTTTTGAATGTTCAGCTAGATGAACTTGAACAAATATATGCCCTTGCTCAGTAAACTGTCAAAAAAATTACATCTTATAAGAACCATAAGAAAAACGTTCTTTATATAATTCGAGTCAAAATCAAAATCACCAAATTTACTTACTTTAACAGAATTCCCAACGAGATTTGTAATCACTTGTCTGAATCTTCCCGGATCCCCCATTACAATTTGAGGAACTTTATCAGATACAAGAACAGCGAGCTTCAATTTTCCCAGAAGTTATGAAGAAGAATAGAATCAGATATAACTTTGATTAAACGAAATTGAGATCAATTTATCAACAATTTTTAAGAAAATTTACCTCGATTCCTTTATGGCGGGACTTTTCTGAGAACAACGAGAGAACATCGTCTAAAATTGATCGAAGATCAAACGGAACTGCTTCAAGTTCTAATTTCCCAGCTTCGATTTTGGCTCTATCAAGAACTTCGTTGATCAAAGTAATCAAAGCTCGTCCACAAGCTTGAGCCGTTTGAGCGTAATCCCTTTGCGTTGAACTTAAATCCGTATCAAGAAGTAACGCAAGCATTCCTGTCACCCCAATTGAAAATCAGAGATAAAATCGAACAAAAAGATGGAGAGAAAAAAGGGGGGAAACTAACGAAAATGACGCATACCAAGGATTCCGTTCATGGGGGTTCTGATTTCGTGTGAAACAGTAGCGAGAAACTGAGATTTAGCAACATCGGCAGCTTCTGCTCGGACTTTCAATTGTTGCATGATATCAAAATCATCTTCAACTTGAACGATATGAATGGCGCCGGTGTAGAACATGTAGCCGACTAGTAAAACAATGACGTAACCCAAAATGGCGGAGATGGTCGCCGTCCATGAGATCGGAGGTTTATGAAGATACCTGCAAGTCATCTGGTGCTTTCTAAACGGGTCACCGAAGTCTAGCTTACTGACACGTGTACGTGACTGGTCACCTTCTTCAGTCTGACGTCCGTACATTATCAGAGGGTCTGACGTGTTGGTGACGTCATATACCTTCACGACGATTTCCTGGTTTCCGGCAAGTTGTCCGAGGAGATTTTCAACCAGAGACTCCACGTCAAATGCTCCACCGAGATATCTGTTTTCAAAGACAAAATCGTTGAATTTCATCGTCGAATCAACAACTGAGATATGGAATAATGGGATAAGGAAGAATTAGTACCCGGCTGTAGCTTCAATTCGATCGCGAACAGATGCATTTGGGGGGAGTTTGGATTTGTAAACAGGAATGGTTAAAACGACTCCGAGATGATGAGAACCCAAGAGTTTGAAAGGGCTTGTGAGCACTGCTTTGCCAGTTGATCGAGCTCTCAAGATGTTTTCTCGATCTTCCTGCGATCAAATTAGGGTTTTATCAGTTTTAAGCTTTTGAAATTCATCGGATTAGTTGATGAAATTGAGAAATTGAGAAATTTTCACCTCGCCGGACATCATATCTAGCAAGTTGAGATACGAAAGAGTTTGTTGAGCGAAAATCACGGGGGCATATTCGTCACGATGAGGTGAAGGTTCTTTATTCGCCATTGTTCTTATTGTCCCACCATGTTGACTCTCGAATTCTTCTCTCTCGGAGTTCATTACCCTTTGTGCATACGCTACACCGCTTAATAGAGGTCGCTCGAATGCTGTTCTTGCTGTATATTCTGCAAATGTTTCCTGCATCCATCATCAAAGATATGAATTTAGGTTCAAATTTCTGATCGAAGATGAAGGCAAGTTGAGTATTTAACTATTTATTAGGTTCGCCATTTTCCTTTGACTTTTGAAGTCAAATGAACTAACTTTCCACCTTCAAATTCGACATGAATTTAAAAAGTTTCAAGAATAACAAGTGCTATAAACAGAGAATTAGCCGCGTTGGATCTGTAACAATGCACATTTATTTAGCTAAAAACACAGTAAAGAAGATCAAGAATTTAGGAAAAATACACAATCGAGAATTATGATAATTTGAACAATTATAATCAAGAATACCCAGAAATTAATTTTGTTCAAAATCAAGAAAAAGGTAAAATCAAGAAAACCCAGAAATTAATTTTTTCCAAAATCAAGAATACCTAATCATAACTCTGTTTCTTGAATTGCCCAAAAATGTGCGAGAAGAAAGAAAAAAAAAATACAAAAAGCAAATCACACATACACAGCATAAAAGGTGAAAATGCAGAGAGCATAATACACAAATATAAAGGGGGAAAAAATTCAAACCTGATCAATTACTGAAGGGTTCTTGTAATAATGAAAAGTCGAAACCAAAACAGCAAGAGCATGAACATGATTAACACTAACACTAAACTGATCTTGCAACATTCTTGCCCTTTGATCACACATACTCACTAAACCTTCTTCAATTCTCTCTTGATGCCCTTCATCGATGCATCTATAAACATAAATCGCTGCAAACCCGAAAGTAATAATCCATAATGCTAAGTATTTTCCTTGATTTGTTCTTGGAAAATAAGTGCGATACTTTCGTTTGGTTCCAAGTTGCTGTTCATTCAAACTCACAGCCACCAAGTGATGGTGGCCATTGCCATGACCTTGCATTTTCAAACCCATTTTTTCAGTGAATCGAAAACATGAGGGTAAAATTGGAAACAAAGGTATGAGGATTTATATAAAGTTTTGTTCTTCAAAGGACAGAGAACTTTTTCAGTAATTTATTATAAAGTTTTTTCTAAAACAAAATAATTGCGACATTGTTTTGTGTGAATTTAGTCAAGAAAACACACAACCCCAGAAAACCCACTAAAGAATAATAATCAAAGACAAGAAATTCATCAGAGAGTTTCACACAGTGACAGTGAGTTAGAGAGAGAAAAATAAGAAGGAACAGAAACAACAAAAAGGGTATTTTGAAAGAATTCCTAAAGGGTTAAAAATTCATGTCAAAGGGAACAAGCATGGCTGTGTTTGCAGCCCTAAAAAGATGCACAGAAAGCTCAAATTCCAAAGGAACTTTGGGTTTGAATCGAATTAAAAAATCGAAGTTGTTGTGAAAACTGGAAACCCTAAATTAATAATATTAAAGAAAAACACAGGCGTGAAGGAAGGAGACAAACATTAGCACATTCACTGTGTTTTTATTTGTGATTTTGAATAAAGAAAGAAAGCATATCAATGGAAGCCAAACTAGAAGATTTTTGAACAGCAAAGCAAAAGCAAGAGACAGAAAAGAGGGGAAAACAACGAAAGCCAAGTTGTATTTTGGATAGAATGAAGTGTGTTTAACTTGGTATAAACATGAGTTGTTTAATAATGGAGGAAGAATAGGAAATTAGGGAGAAATTAATAATAAAAGAAGGATATGTTTGGCTATATTACTTTATAAATGCAACTGAATCGAATTTTCAGGATTTTTTCAAGATACGCTCTTGTCCCCCCTCTCCCTCTTCCTTCAATAAAAACAACCATCAAATAATCAATTTTCCCTTTTTCCTTTTGCAAATTAAATCATCCTATAATTCAAAAATCAATGGCGATTATTATATATAATACTATTTATTTTGATTTTATTAGATAATATAGTTTTTATTTTATTTTTAAACAATAAATTTAATATAAAAAATAATACAAAATTCACTTAAGTTTACACTAAAATTTTAATTTAACGATAAATCCGGTTTTCTGCTAAGGTGGTATAATAACATGTCGATTTTGATGACGTGACATGCTGACGTATCAAAATTAAATTCTTTTCCCATAAAAGATACTAAGTTTTTATTTTTATTTTTTTAATTTTGACACTGAGTTTTTTATTTTGTTTTTCAATTTTGATATTCTTTTTTTTTTTTTCAAATCGAACATCATTTTTTTCGACTTTATTCAATGTAGACCATTTTCCATTTGAAACCATATAAATATTTTTATTATATTTTAAACCGTATAAATAATTTTTTTTATTTAAAACCACATTCTTATATAAATACAAGGGTTTTTGTTACATTCAAACCATAATATAATGAATAAATATGTATTGATTATATAAAAAAAAAACCGTATTTTACATTAAATTACGCAATTTTAAAATGAGTTTGGAGGTTTTGAGACGTGTAATCGTTCAAGACACCGATGTCATATTTGTAACTCGTGAAATTTTAACATCTTATTTAATATTTATAATATTATTATGAACATCTTGAATCTCATGGTATGACTCTTGAATATTACTAAATCTTGAATGACCGTTTATTTAATTATTGAATGAAAATTAATTTATTCTAGAGACATATAATCACTATATCCATGAAGGATTCTTAGACATAAACTATTATAATATATGTTAAATTTAAAGGATCTTGAACTACTAATAATTTGACATATATGTATGAGGCTATACATATGCACATGTACACCCACAAACAAATAGATATCTTATAATTAAGGGATTTTTTTAAGAACATCATATATATATATATATATATATATATATATATATATATATATATATATATATATATATATAT